GAGCCACATTTTGCAATGTGACCAGTTATTTGGGGTTATATAACTAGAGTTTTTAAGGATTTGTTTGAAAATACCTGCCTTCCTACATCAGTGACAGGAGTTCTAGATGTCATTGATAAAACAACTTTGTAAAATAAAAGCTGTGAGAAGTAGGCAAGTCTCCTGCTCTGGTAAATTGGCTCTGCCCCAGTACTTTCAACACTGGTGGGCTAGGGAGGTTTGGACATGCTTATTCTGATCCTCCAAGAATTCTCCCCTTCCAGAATGGCTGGGGAAGGAGCAGGAGCCTTCCTGAAGGTGCTGAATCAGGTAAGATGAGATTGGTTGTGAATGGATTAGAAAGCCCCTTAAACTATTGCCTCTAACCAGCCTGAATTATCAGGTGCCTCTCTGTTTTTAATCTACTTAATTTCTGAGGTTATTTGTATTAGGGCAAAGTGATGTATTTCAGTAATGTCGGTCAATACCAGCAGGGATAGACCAAGGGTAAATTATACTTTAGCTAAAAAGAGAAAATATACCACAGGAAGATTTGTGTTTCAGGGGGTCTTTCAATTATCCAAACTTCTATCTATCCAGATAAATCCTGCTGGAATTAAAGTGCCTGAGTAATTTACAGTTTACTTATTGATAATAAATGTGCTTCTGTTGAAAGAAATATTATAAGCAAACAAATAATATGTTATAGACTTGCTAATTACTGAGAAAGAATGAGTACGTAGTCTTAGGAACAGTCACTGTTCTCTTGATGACTACTGGAAAAAGAATGACTCTGGAGAAAAGACCATGTCAAAGACAATTCAGGAGAAAACTCTTTTAATTTATTAGTTCCTATTGTAAATAATTGAACAGTTGTCTTTCTCGAGCTCACATTGTTAACAGAGAGCAAGCAGAAAAGATCTTTTAATATTTCAGTGTAATACAAGTTTTGTGTAAAAATGTCTTATGCAATCTACTCCACAACACTTCACATGTTAGATAACACTTTTATAGAATCAAATCTATGAAACCCTAGATTTCAGCTCTTCATTCTTCCGGTAAAAATGCTGTTATCCTCATGCTCCAAATAGCAGAATTATACACAATGATGCCTTCCCATTATCAAGGGTGAAATTTTATGAAGGAGCTGAAAAGGACAATTGTGGTGTAATAAGGGGAGAAAACTTGTCATAGTCAGATGGAAAGATATGGGTAAGATCAGAAAATATGTGACAAGTTTGTAGAAATGAGGTTAATTGGATCTTGAAATAAATGGTGAATTTCTGGAATTGTCTTTGAGACTTCACAGTCTTTTCTGTAATGAGAAAAAAATGATGGGCAGTAAAGTTCCACACGCATGATGGTATGAATGTTTAAAGGCGGTGTGTAAAAAGGATAATAACAGTAAAGTCTGGAAGAGAGAAGGGCATAGGATTTAAGAGGGATGGTAGGAAAAATGGCTCATTAATGAAAAATTATAGAGAGCAGGACCTATACCTATAAAAACTGAAAGAGAATTCCCTAGGATAATGGCTGAACCTTAGCTTTCCAGTTATACCTCCTGCTTTACTGTTTGAATTGATGAGAAAAAGGAACATTTGAATTCATAGTTTTATCTCTTTTAATACCAAAAGGGCACATATGTGCCAAATGTATTTTATGTTTTCTAATGTGTTACTTATATTTCATATGTTATAGATTCAATGTTCAAAAAAACCACTACCTCCTGTGGGCAAGTTCTGTACAATATGGAAAACTCACAGTTTGTGCAGGAAAAAAAATGGAACTCTAAGAATCCAATATTAATTTCAAATATAATTTTAAGGGGAAGATATAGGACATAAATTTTGCCTTAACCTTACAGGCTTAGCCTTTTAATTTTGTTTATATGTCAAATAAAATACATGTTTTTTACTCACAGTCAGTTCACTGAAAACCAGTGTGTTACACCTTTTTCAAAAACCTTGTAATATCTAGAATCAGTTAAGAATGTAAATGTGAAATAAAAAAATTAAATCAAGTTCTAATTTAACTGACAGTTCTGGAAAAAAAAAAAGTCTTCAGTCAAAGCTGGTGTCATCAGAATGTTCTAATCCCTTTCTGTATCAGAGGAATGGTTTCTGTAAAAATGCATATACACAGTAGCATACGGGAAAATGTGTGGAAAAGCCCTCCTAATTTGCAAGACTACTTGCTGAAATTGTAGACTTGTGTATTCAGTGGTACAGAGGGAAAGGCTGAGATGTAGAAAGAGAAGAAAGGGTTGGAGGTACAACTGAGGGAACGAGCAGAACTCTGTCAGCTTTAGATTATGGTTTATTTACTCATTAAAAATTGGCTGTAGCAACTATTATAGATATGGAGGCAGATTTCTAGAATAGAATCATCTGTAGCCAGTAGAGTATTTTCATCTCTTCCTACCAGTAAGTATTGTTTCACAGCTTCTTTCCTTTGCGTGCCATATGGAAACGTGTGCTACTTTTGTGTCAGTTCTTCAGATCTGCAAATCTCTTCAGCTCACAGGAGTGCTGTGGTTTATGAGTGTCTAATGTAACAACTGAAAGAAGTATACACTGTCCAGCTAAATGTAAAACTATCCAACTAAATGTAAATGTAAATGTAAAATGTAATGTATATTGAAAAATGAAGCTTCATTTTTAAAAGAAAATCTGCTAGGCTTCCTTCAGAGGCTTTTTTTCCCTGAAAAGGTTGGGTCTTTTGTTACCTTTTGGCATTTTTAAAAAATCACAAAGCCATGATTTTCCCGATTTTTGGTCATTACAAAAACAAGCCTCAGTAATTAACTTTCTGGCACTGAATAGCTTTTGGTCCAGTAATCAACAGCCTTCTTTGTATGCTCAAAGATAGCCAAGAGTCTCTTGCTGTCAGTTGCTGGGACAAGCCTCCTGCAATGAGCTGATGTGGCATCATCCTTCAAACCGTGTCTGATGGCCGTACACCAGTGTCTGAGCCTAGCAGGCACTGGGGTACTGTGGTAGACTTTATTAATGTTCTGGATTACTTCTGCTTTATTTCTCACAAAATAACAGCATGCCTTCTGTTGGCAACTGTGCAGTTTCTGCATTACTTTCCTTTGCCTGTATGGGGTATTCTTTTATCTTGCAAATAAGGTGATAAGCTTTCTCTGCCATAAGCATATTAGAAATCAGTCAAGCAATAAATGTATATATTTTCCACAGAAAGGCCTTCAATGGAATACACTTTGGATCTTTGGGAGTTGCTCTTTGAGGAAGTTTCAGACCAATTAAAGAACATCCAGAGCAGACCAGTAAGAATGATTACGAATCTGGAAAACTTGAGTGTCATAGCATGAATGAATTTATTGGGAAGAGAAGGCTGAAGGGATGTTATTACTACCTTTTTCTTACCTTACTTTAGGTGACTGTTGTTGCTGACTTGCAATGTATTAGAAAGATGGTATTTCGTGTTACAAGCTCCCGAAAGCAGGTTGTTAGGCAAGAACCTGTACCTTCATTTTTATAAAGCAGAAGTGTCTAATAGTTATTATTGAAGGAAAGAGATTAAAATAATGAACTCAGAATCTTCAGAAAAGGGCAAGGACATAGTGGCCAGAATATATCTGTCAGCATCTCAGTATTTTTAGGACAACTTTATAATCATCTAAAAGTTTGGGGAAGGGAAACTCTTGGCCTTAGCTTTGGCCTCATTTGTTCTCCTAGAATAATTTCTCATTTTAAATTGCTGCCACTTTCTTTTCCAACCCACATTTGTTAAGCACAAAGGTTTCACCTGTGAAACGTCTTGTGCTTCCACTCCACGATTGCTTTAATCTTGCGTTGCTGTCAACAGAGATGTGTATTCTCCCTCTATCCCTTCCGTGCACACACTCTCCTGTCAGCACAAAGGTTTGTGCTTTCAGGTGATGAACTGGAACCAAGAACTGACCTTGATCTTAAGCAGACTGGCAAAAGAAAAAAAAAAAGCAACCAGCAAAAAACAAACAAACACACCTAAAACATTTTAACCAGGGTCACTTCTCCAGTCTAATTCACTGCAGGATCATAAAAATGTATGTGTCGGGGGGTATACAGGAATCTGAATGAGCAGGTTCCTGTCTGGCAGAGGTGGGTACAGCCTTTTGAAAGGACAGTGCAAGTCCTAAAATTGGGGAACGTGCTTAAAAAAATGTTGTCCTCTGCTGTCCTATTGCATGTTTGTTTAGCCCTGAAGCTGCTTAATAGAATACCAAAAGAAAATGCTTATCAGCTTTTGCACAACTGCAGACTCAACACAAGTGGGAGGAAGTCTGTTCCTTCTCTGACTCAATATTCGTCTGTGTAGGAACACAAAAGATAGAAATTTTATTATTAGCTGAGCTATTGTAACCTCTTCCCTATTTTTGCTGACACAACAGGTAGGAAAAAGCCAACCTTTTCTTCCTGCTACTGTACAGTCTTCAAATCCACAATGAATAAATATGGTTTCCTGCCATTATGCTTTCTCAGAGTATGTTTGTTGTTCTCCACCTTTTATTTAAGATGCTAAAGTTGTTCTTGAAATAAATAGTTGGGAGAAGACATTGGACAAGGCTGTCTATGCAATGTGTTCTTTAAAAAAAATTATGATGGCATCTTTGAGTGACATAGCTAATCCATTTTGGCCTGGATTCCTTTCCTTCACAAAAGCGAATCTCAGTCCTGGTGCATAATTTATGATATTGGCATCCAGCCCAAACATATGTACATATTGAAATCAATTTTGCATCTGCTTAAGTTTATGCACATGACTAGTCTGATTGGATTTATTCTGATGAAATGACTCATGCGAAATCAAGTGTTTGCAGAACAAGGGTTTCAGACAGTAGGGTTCTTAAGGGCAGTAGCTTCTGCTTACTATAGCTTTATATGGAACCTAGCACATGAAATGACTTTTTGAATATCTAGAAGCCCTTGTGTGCTGTGTAGCTGTAGTACAAAGTGAAATAAATGAGTACAAAAGAACAAGTCTTACAGCTAGGCCAGATCTTCTACTGCATAGCACTTGGACACAATTAACAATAATTGTAACAATTAGTTGATTGTAACTTTCTCCTTTAAGAATTTTCTTCTGGGAATCTCTTCAGGATCAAGGAAAATCACTCTTTTTACTCCTTTGTAACAGGCTATCAGGCTGCAGCTGTTGGCATTCTGGTAGCCATTGGCCAGGTCAAATACTGTTGCTTATATATGCTAGACGCTCTGATAAGTTATAGCCATCATCTCCTATCAGGATGGAACTATATTTTTCCGGAGCCTCATAATTCAATGGATTCAACATCTCCTGCAAGGAAGAGTTATCTGAATGGGTTGCAATGTAGATATTCATCATCTTCCCAGAACAAAATATCAGTGTGTCATGAAAAGGAACAGATTTTTTTGCTGCTCTCCCAAGTCTTGTCTTGCTATGACATCTCACATTGGCCATCCTGAACCCTGGATGATTTCTTGCTTCGTAAACTGTACAGTCATAGACTGTAGGAAGAGAAAAGGTGATGCTGAGCTTGCTACTTGTTGAAGGTGTTTGTATCCAGAGTCTGGCTCCTCTGTTTTCTTTTGATGTTTTCTCATTCTCCCTATGTCTGCTATAAGAGTCTAGGGAATGGAGAGAGTGAAGAGACTCCCCTCAAGGAAGGGGATGAGAGAGGCTGTAAGATCTGATGTTAGGAGCGTTAGGGATTAAAAAGTGGAACTCCAGGGGATTTGTACGGTGAGAATATAGTCTGGAGAGGATAGATAAAAAGAAGAAGGCTTGGAGTATGAGTGCTGTTAAGGCAAGGCAGTGTATGGGAGTGACTGCAAAACTGACGGTGTACAGAGGACGAGTGGAGAGATGGGAATGAAGATAGGGAAGGAAAGAAAAAAAAATTGGAGTAAGAATGTAAAACAAGAAGCATACCTTAAAGATGAATGGCTTTCTTGGCCTTTCCCTCCTACCTCACTGCCCTGCTACATTCTGTGATTAGTGAAAACACCTTGAAATAAAGACAATTTTAGGAAGCTCAGAATGTAGACCAAGGCATGTGATTTTAAGTATTTGAGATGTGTTTTTGATGAGGCATTGTGCTCCTGACTTTTGGTGACATTTAGACAGGAGGCACTTTAAAAAAGTGTACATGTGAAGTTCATCATGTAACACCTGATTCTGGACTCTCTGGTGAATAGACTACAATATGCTTTGAAGCAAGAGAGGAAAATATTGAAATATTACAGGATTAAAATAATACAGAAGTAAAATTGTGCTCTGAATTACCTAAATGTGAGTCTGATGGCTCTTGTGAAGATACTCTCTGATACTTTTGTGTGACTAGGGGAAACCTTTAATCTTAAAGTGTTGAGATGTAGAAGGCTTTTTGTTACCGATGTCTTTCTGTGGTCTGCAGTTTGAAGTGTATGAAGAGGAAACAGGTAACTGGGTCTAGATATTGCACAGTATTGATTTTTGGTAACTGAAAAATTTTGGTCCTACAAGTGGATACGCTTTAATGAGATGGTCATCAGTTTTATCCAGCAAGCTGAATTTCTGCTCAGGGGAAAGTTCTGAGTGCTGATATGCAAAAAGAAAATGGTTTTGCTATATGATTCTCAAAGAAGTATTCAATATGTTAAAAAACCTACACATCTCTAATTAATTCTGGAGTTTTACAAGTGAAACTAGAACGTAATAATCTCCATGTTTTGAATAACTTACTGCAGCTCTTGATAATATTTCATATTGATTGAATGAATATCAGTGTTTCTTACTTGAACCCTCTTTGCTTTAAAATGTGTGATTTTAATCCTTTAGAGCTCTGTGCAAATCAACTTCCTATTATTTACATCTTGGCTGATACAAAGATGTTGGTATTTTTAAGAAACTTCTGTATGTAGTACTTAAACAAGGCTGTATGGCAAAGATCTCATGTTAACTGTAATTATCATAGGTAATTCATTTGTTAATTGATTTACTGAATTTGCAGCTGGTCACATTTTTTTAACCTACTGAAATGAATATTATTGTGAAATGTTTGCTCTTACAAGGGTTATGAGCACTTTATGCTGAACAAAGAATCGAAAGAAATAATGGAATTCTTTAAATACTTATAAAGCATTTTTGATGAGTAGAACTTATTTCCATGGTGAATTTTTACAGACATATACTTTTTGTCTATTTTTAGTCCCCTGCACATAGCTATTCAAGCTATGACTCTGGCAAGAATGAGAGTGTAGGCAGAGGTGCTGAAGATCTGTCTCTGAATCGAGGAGATGAGGATGAGGATGACCATGATGAGCAGGAAGATCCTGAGAAGGTTAATGAATCAGATGGGGTAGAAGCTGAACGACTGAAAGCTTTTAATGTAAGTCCTCTTGCACTCGTTGTCTTGTTTACTACTACTGTTCCTTTTACATTGTTATTTTATGGGTAAGTTTGACCATTAAAGGCACATTAATTTAATTTGCAGGATTTATTTCAATTATTTTTAATACACATTAAACTCTTGCCAACAGATGACAGATTTACTGTGTTTTATTTAGAATTTTAAGGCAGAGTGCCATCTTTACCAGTGAGGAACACAAAGCTTTGTTCTGTATGTGTGCATGTGCACTTGTGTGTGTGGATATGGATGTGTGTATGTGCATGTTCACCCATTTAATGGAAAGGGGCTGTAGCTAGTTTATCAGAAGACCATTCTGGTGGTCAGCTGTTCTCTGTTGCTTTCCCAATGTATGTAATTATGCATGAAAACACAAGCAATTGTTCAAACAAAGAAAAAGTGAGAGTCAGTTCAATAAAACATTAGCAATCACAGCTTATTGTTAATAATGAAACTTAAGTAGTGCCTATTTTCACAACCTGTTCTGGTTTATCTCACAAGTTCTGTATCCTATAGAGTATTCTTTTCTTGTCTTTTCTTTTTTAATCAGCCCCCACTTCCCAATAACCCTTTAAAGAACTGTTTGCTTAATATTTCTGGCTTCCCATTACAAAGCTCTTCAGTGGATAGAAAAAATGTCTTCCTATCAGTAATCAAGACAGGAAGCTAGGAAGAGAAGAGAGCCACCCTCCAAACCCATCTCCTCTGTCTCCCTCTTGCCAACAGATGTTTGTCAGGCTGTTTGTAGATGAAAACTTGGACCGAATGGTCCCAATTTCTAAGCAGCCCAAAGAAAAGATCCAGGCTATCATTGACTCATGCAGGCGACAATTCCCTGAGTATCAAGAGCGTGCCAGAAAACGCATACGTACTTACCTCAAGTCCTGCAGGCGGATGAAAAGAAGTGGTTTTGAGATGGTGAGTTTTGATTTAAAACCCAGCCCTAGTTTCCATCAAAACCCCATACGTAAATCCATGGCACTATTTTGTTTTCATCTTAGTGTCTTTTTTTGTTTGTTTGTTTTTTTATTTTTTTTGTAATACCAGGTCAGAGGTTTATTTTTCCCTCCTTCATTCTTCCTCAATTTATTCCCTTTGTTCACTGGTTTAAAAATGCTTGGAGACACTAGAGTTCACAAAATGAACTAGTATGATGTATAGGAAAAGAAGAACAAAGCAAGGCATAAGGAGGGAAACCAAATGATGGTATATATAGTGACTTATTTCCTACTTTAGGTTACAGTTGGAGATTTTTGCCTAGAAAAGTCCTGAAGTAAGATGGATCTTTCTTTAAATGCCTCTGCTAACTGGATTTCTGTGAGCTCTGTAAAATTTAGATCCTACTAGAGAAGTGCTATACCCAAGAAAATGCCCAGTGTAGTAACATCACACGCGCAATGGTTTTGGCTTTGGATTTTTTCTTGTACATTTTAACCTATTACTTATCAGTAAAAGTTACTCCTTTGAAATCTTTCAGTTGATGTATAGGTGTGCAAAACACATTAAATGGTTTTAGAACACAGACATCAAGCTTACAGTTTGAGCACCCCAATGGTTTAGTAATTGTAACTGAACCAAAACCCATTAAAATTATGATGGTGTACAACTGTCAGTCTTTTCAGACATTAATATTTTAATATTACTCAGTAGCACAAGAATGGGTAAATAATGTCTTCTCACCAATTGGCAGCTTCATTATCTCAAGAACTTTTGTATTTCCAAAACCCAAGAAACTTGGAAGAATCTAGGAACTAGGTAGCTATACACCTTATTTTTGATGTGTCTTAGCTGTTTCTCTGGCCTTTAGATGACAATAAAATCACCTCATCATTACAAATAGATATCATTTAGTGATTAAACATATTTTTTAATGAATCATCTGCAAACCCATTGATTACGTTAAAAAATTACTGGAGATTATTGAATTTTACTGTTTCTCTCTCTTTCTCTTTGCTGCAGTCTTTGCAGAATACTTATGTTGTTTAAGATGTTAGCCGGCAGTTTTAAAAACAAACTATCAGGTTTATTTGTAGGGTAAGACCAATATCAGATACCACAAAAAGCAAAGACAGAAACTAGATTTTTGTATGTGTTTGTGATTCTAACCGACTGCATGATTTTATTATTTGAAACATTGGGATAACACTGTTTCTAATCAATGGAAACACAGACAAAGGGAGACAGGTAAAGGACATCTGTACAGATAAAGTGCCAAAGATTGACTGGTGGTATACATGTCAGATTGTGTAGCCTTCTAAAAGAAATGAGGAAAAAACAGAAAGTAAATATTTTCTATGATACACTAAGTAGCCCCAAATTGCATCGTCTCACTCTGGCTGAAAATAATTCAGCAACATCAAATTTAGCTTTCACAATGCCAAATATTTTATTTTGCTGTATTTTCAATTGAAAATGCTTACAAAATTAGCCAATGCTAGCAAGTCACCTCACTGTTCCAGTTTATGGCCTCATTACTGTCATTATTCACACTGATGAGCAGTTATGTAAACTGGCTCATTTGTCATCTGAAAGACTTGTGCAACTGTTTTGCAATATGAATGAGGGGCTTACAGTCTGGCCCACAGGAGCTAGGTTGGCTTGACTTCAGTGCTCATTTGCAAATGTTGCTTTCATATGAAAAAATGTTGCAGGATCAAATTTATTCCTGTGAGGGGAAAAGGAGCAGAGATTACCAGGAACATGATCCTAATAGGCAATCTTTACGGTTCAGAAATATTCCGTATTTTTATAATTTTCCGTTACAGTTTATTATGGACTTTATTTCTTTATAAACAAACAAATTGCCCTCTTTTGCTGCCCATGAATGAAGGGGACAAGTCACTGGAACTCATGCCAAAGATTTTAGCCCTCTTGGGCCTGAAGGGAAATCTATCCTGCTTCCCCATTCACAGGTAGGAGCACGAACCAAAGACTGTCTGAAGTCTTTGGAGGAGCTCTCAGTAACTTCCTGAGAGTGGTGTTTCATATTTATGTCTTGAATAATTCTGAAATGTAATACATATCCATTTGTTGTTTTAAATTATTTTCTGATTTCTAAATTATCAGCATCTCCTGATTATAAGCATTTAAAAAAAATGTTAGTATGGACAGAAGCACTTGGCTGTATCATTATTTTAAATGTACTTACCATTTTGACAGTAGAAAAGAGTCACTTTGACTGGATAATAAGATTTGTTGAAAACAATCATGAAGGGACATGTTGATGTTGATTTGAATAAGGTGCTAGCCTCAAATACAGCAAAACAGGATAATGATCTCCTCAGGAGCAATAGTGCTACCGTTGTTAGATTAAATAGGATGTCAGATAATAATCTCCACAGGAGATGTCTTTTGCAGTAGACATATTAAACACAAGTTTTTCATTTTGTTCAGGTTTAGAATGCTGCATTTTGAGCATCTAGTTGTGAGAGAAAAAGCGAATAATCTCATATATGGCATTTGAATGTGTGTGGAACAGTGCAGCTATCTACAGTGTCATACGGTAAAGTGAAGAGAAAATGTAAACACTAAGTTAAATTAGTGTAAGACTAAGACTGCATGGTAAAGATGAAAAAGCATGCCTGAAGCCTGTTTCTGTCATTTATTTGCCATCTGTAATCCAAATGACAGTTCTAGCTCTGAGGCAATGGGAAAGGCTCAGTCTCATGAGAGTTCATAATGTTAATTAACGTCTTTGTTAGTATTAATATTTTTAAGAGGTTACTTACAGTTATTCTGCTTCTACTTATGACAGATAGTTGTCCATGGACTCCAAGGCAGCTTGCATAACTTGCTGCAAATATTCCTTTGAGGAGTTCTCTTTCTACATTGGAAATGCTTTCGCTGTTTGACTGTTCAGCTTATAATTGTACCATTTTCATTCTGACACAAGCGTATCCCTCAACAAGGCACTGTCAAAGTTTTTCTCATTAATTGTAAGATTGTTTTTCTCCTACCATTGTGTCTTGCTTATGGACTGTTAGAGAATATTCTCTTACTAAATTCTGTGATCTTGCCCAGAATCTTTCATTGGAAGTTGGTCAAGTCCTGAAATCACTACCTTTTGGATGGGATCTCTAGGTTGTGCTTTCATCTGTGTTATGCTGTAGCGCTTCATGAACTTCTTAAAGTTCTTGATGTTCTTTTTTTTCTTCATTAGCCCATAAGCAAAAGGAAAAAAAATATTACTACCTTTTTCTCAAGGACTGATATTAATGAGAATTCCTTTTTATACATTGTTTTGTGACCTATATATGTATACAAAATGAATTGACCCTGAAATGGTCAAACGACCCATTTCACTAATGTTTTCAAAATCTGTCCTTTAGACTTGTACCAGCCTTTGTATCTCTAGCAAACTGACAATTAAAAAAGATAGTAGACAGCTGCTGAGGATATGTGGTATGTATTTATTTACTTACAGTCCAGAAAAAATTTAGATCCTAGAAATAATCAAATGAGGTTGAATTGAATTAATACATTTTCTTGCTACTATCTGCTTCCTCCCATCGTCATGATCTCCTATCATCAGTCTCACTGCATTCAGTTTGAAACTGCGTCTTACGGTATCTTTTTCACAGTTAAGATTTTTTTTCTATGTGCATCCTGATGCAAGAGCAAGGTCTTAAACTCTCATGCACAAAGAGGTTCTTCCTTTTGTTTAAGCAAAATGAAACCCTCCTTCCAAGGTGCTACTGTAAGACAAAGCAAAGCTTTGCTCTTTGATATTATTTATCAAAGAGCAAAGTGTTCTTATGTACGGGAGAGAAAAGGCTAGTCATAAATGGTTTTCATTGTCCGAAGACAAGTTTGGATGTGTCAGAGAAGAGTAGTCACACTATGCCTGAAGACAGTTCCTTGGTTAGATCCCAGTGTTGTTCGTCCCAGCTCCTTCTGTCCTATCACCAGCCTCAATAACAAATAACTAAGCTCTGTATCTTCCACTGCTTCTGTCATTTGGTTGTGCCAATTGGCTGTAAGATGTGTTTCAACGACTTGCAACTGTGCACATGTTGATCAAGGTGTTTTAAATGTGTCTAGTGGCTTGGAGTGCTTCTGTATTGTGTGTGAGCAGCTTCAGTGTGAACTGCTTTTCAGAAGGGGGTGTGTTTTCTGAAATCTGCCTCGTTAAGATTTCTCAGAATAGATATCGAGCCTCTTTTTTTAGGTTTTAGCTTTAGCGAGAAGAAGCTTTCATTATTTGTGGAATTTAGTGCTGAATAGTCCAGCTGCCCCCACAGTCATGTGGCTTTTCAGTCCTCCAGGCCTTTTATGGCTGGAAAGGTCATGAGCATTTTCGGGAAGATGAGGGTCTGTTGATCCAGGGATGCGTACCTAATCCTGATTAATAAACCGCAACGCATTAATAAAATTATCACATGAAGATCTACAAATAATAGAGTTATGGGTTTGTACTCTACCCCAGACTCTGTTGACTGCTCTCTTTCCTTTCTAAGCATCTCACCCCTGTTACACAGTGGTTAGCTGATGTAAGTCTGTTGGGTAACCTGGTTGAAAAAGGGCAAAGCTACTCTCTGAAAAACTTTAGGTCGCACATATCCTTAAAAAAAAATTCTAGAAACAGTTTCCCCTAAGGCTCTTAGATATTCCCCCCCCCCCCCCCCACAGAACAGTTAAGTGAATACTGACGTGATTTTACAGAACTGCCTTTTAAATATGTCTCAGATAACTTTTGCAAGTATAGGCAATTTTGGAACAGTGAGTGGCAGAAGATGTTCCTCCAGTAACTGTGGAAAATGTGAAGAAGTTAGCTTTGAAAAAGACATGATATTTGGAAAAAGAATGAAGACTAAAAAATGAAAAATATCTAGCAACCTGATAGTAATTAGTCTTTTATATCCTTTGAGAGAGGAAAGGATAGGACTGCAATTTTGACGTTTCACAATTTTATTGAATGC